AATGATCTTCCGTTTTAATTTTGATATTCCACTAAAAGTTTTTCTAAAACGGTGTTTATGTTTGTGTTAGTGCTCTGGAAAAAAGTATAACAAAAGCATTTATAAAGTACAATTGCTCAAGTGTTTATTTTCATAGCACGTAGCACATGCTAACAGTTAGCCCCTACAGTGTCTATTGTGGTCAACATTTTACCTTAAAGTATATCAAAAGTCAGATTTTACTGCGATTTCAGGCCTGTTTGCTTTTGACAAAGGATATTTATTTGTATTCATACCACCAGTTGAAAGGTTTGAAATACAATCTTACAAATATTTACCCATGAGGCAAAGTAAGAGATTGTTTTAGCTGATATAAGAGTCCTCATACTCAAGTCCAATGAAGAAATATGCCTGTAGCTCTGTAACAATATTCATACATTTTGTACAATAATACAAACATCATATTTCCAGCCATAGTACAGGATGTACAGTTTGGTCCTGACTTTTAATACAATATTCTACAACAAAACAGTTGAAGGCACTCTTGAACATGTTGTGTTTATACATTTTGTCTCTCCTTTATCTACTTTTTTACAATAAGTTTGGCTGAGCAGAACGCCTCCCCTTGGTCATTGGTGGCTCTGCAGGTGTACACACCGCTCTCCTCTGGGCCCACTTTGTCTAAGACCAGTGTGCAGCGGCCATCTTCATCATACTCTATCTGCTTTGAGGGTGACTCCTCCACATGTTCTTCACCACACAGCCACACCACCTCTGGGTCTGGGTACCCTGTCAAGATAGATGGGGTGAGGACAGGATTAAAGAGCAGAAAAAGTACTTCTGTTTTCTTTTAGGGGAAGTTTCAGTTTTGAGTTGATAGCAAGTCTTTCAGGCCTGAAAACTAACCATTAAAGGTGGGCTAGGTAATTAGCTCCAGGAACACTTTTTGGACATAATGTTGTGTATAGCAGTGGGTCTAATATGGGTTATGCAAGGCCAATTTATTAGATATTGTCCAAAATTTGTGATACATTTTTTTGCTTTTGCTCTTTTTAGTAACGGCTCAATACATGTGCAATAATAAGTCAAAGATGAAAACATTGCTTAAAGGTCACCTATTATACAAAATGCACTTTTGTACATACATATGTGTCCCCAGTGTCTAAGGAGACTCACGAAGCAATATTGCAATATTGCCACACTGGAGATGTATATTAGTTATTTAGAGTTTAGTGTTCAATGTATTCAATGTGTTAAATGTATTCAATGTGTTAAATGTATTCAATGTAGGCCTATTCAAAGTATTCAATGTATTCAATGTGTTAAATGTATTCAATGTGTTAAATGTATTCATTGTATTGTATTAAAATAACTATCCAAACATTTTATATGTAAGTTATTTATATGTATGTAAGTGTTGTCTCGTGTGTATGTACTGTTTGTGATCGTTGTTGTGTCCTCACTCGTGGCCTGCACCATGGGCTTTAAACTTAGACAGGCCATTTTTGTTTGAAATATCATGCTAACAAACCTGCAATTACAGAATTGAATGATAGTGGTTATATATGTTCATGTCTTGCTGACATTATTACAATTTTAAAATGGTTCTCCTCTCTCCTGCAGTCAGCTGTGATTCCAGGTGTCCATGCTGCCGCCCGCCTCCCCCCCCCCATCCACCTCCTTTCATCATATCCAGTACCAGGAGAGCTAATCCAAAAACCTCATCACACCTCCTCTTCATCCCATCTCCTCATCAAATCCAGATCTTCAGCATTATCACCAGTGTCTAACATGTATCATATGACATGTGTCAATAAATGTTCTTTAAACAAAATGAAGTCTCTCCTGATTGAACTGTCTGGACCCCATCCTCAACTTTTTTCAAACCATAACATGCCTTCAGAGGGCTTTCCTGTTGATAATGTTTGGTGGATTTTTTAATAGAATAATTGTAATCAATATTATATTACCTTTTAATCTATATAAATTGTATTAACATTTTTTGTCACTATTTTTGTTCACCTTGTTCTACTATGCCAGCCATCAGAGGTATACATTTGTTAACATCTCTTTTAGGTTTCATTTCTTATATTTGTGAATTTCTATATAAAATGCTAATTTCTACCTGAAATGCTTATGTATTTTTAATTACATTTTCGTAAAGCTTTCACTTTTTCAGCGGAATAAATATTATAACTGGTTTTGTTCAGCATTGCCAGCTTCACTGTTGAGCGTGATGTTGTGCCCAGCATTCTCCTGTCCTGTGCTCTGAAATCAAAATGTGGATAAGAATAAAACAACACTAAAATAAACACTACAATACAACTCGTAAAACTTTTGAAAAAACACAAGGTTGTTCATTTGTGTGTATACATATACAACACAGGCAATATACATATATATATATACAATTATAATTAATACAATTGTTAATTTGATTAGAGCTTTGACACATATCTTTATTGGTATAAATATGACGACTTAATATATAGTCGGCCTAATAGCAAACAGCTACGTTCAACTCTTTTAATGGTATATTGCAAGTGTAATAAGAAGCTACAGGAACGTTAATCTACGTCGGTAATATTATTAACTTTATTTAATACAACATTTACGGTACAAGATTTACATCATAGCCTACAGCCCATGTAGTATATTATTTTACAAATGATGAATTACAGCAAACATGTGCAATATATCCATTATTACAGCTCCGTGGGCTGGCAGTAAGGCGATATGGTCCGTTGTTATTGTGCATCCATGGGTAAAGATAAACGCATGTAGTGCTGAACACGTCACATCACATGAACGTGCCGGGCAGCGCGGTCTCGTGGGTTAGATGCGCGTTCATAATGCCGAGGGAAATAACTCTCAGAATAACGTTATTAGCACATTTCTACAACTTGAGGAACGAATGTTTTTAATAAGGGCTATACAAGTGTTCATACTGGATTGTTTATTTAGTTTAAAAAAAATTATCCAACGAGTTACAGACCACTCTTTCCCCATGTAAGTCAATGGGAAAAAGTGTTTCCGGGCCCAGCAACCAAACGGAAGTGTAGTACCGCCGTTTGGCCACTACGAATATTCTCATCAGACTCCGGCGCACTTCCTGGGGGCTTGCTCTGATCTCATGCTTCTTGACCATATTCTTGACATGAGAGCAGTTTCCCAGCAGAGTGAAGAAAACACATGAAACTCATGGGACTCACTCCTCAGTTTATACCGTGTTTTGTTTCAATTAATGTTAATCTAACTGGGTATTTCTATTGTGCACTCGAATCAATATTAATCAAACTATTGTTCGTTTATACATTTTAAGAATGGCGTTTATCTTTTTTGAGAATGACTTCTTATTTTATTTAATGTATTTGGGTCTACAACAGATGATACAAATGTTTTGTCAGTAAATGTGTACTAACAGAGGCGGGGGTGTTTGTGAAAACAACGGGGACAGAGCTGCTGTCAGACGAACAGCTGTGCGGCGTCATCACTATGGGCATAGATATGTCTCATGATTATTTGTGTGAACATAAAAATAATTTGTGTGTAAATATGTGATTTGTAAATGTAAAACAACATCCACAAATGCATTTAAAAGATTAGCAAACTCACAAATACATTTGCAAGTGTAAAACGGATCTGCAAATACGTTAAATATGTTCACAAATAAAAAAAAGATCTGTGAATATCTCTAACATTTACACCTTTCGATCAGGCATTTGTATTTGTGGACCAAAAATGCGCTTGCGGATCTCAAATCTCTGTTCACGGATCTCAAATCTCTGTTCGCGGATCGTCTTTTTACACACACGGAATTTTGAGACATATTTTCCGCCGGTCTCGGCTAAAATCTACTCGTGTCACTCGGTTATTTTCGGAAACCACGTGATGGCCTGCTGATGACGACAATTCCGCATGATTTCAAAGTAAGAGCATGATGGTTTGTTTAATGCTCTGTTTTTGTATTATAATGAACAGCGGAACGTTAGATGTATTCTTCACAGCCTGTCCTCCTACAAAAAACGACCATATAGGCAGGGGTGCACATGACTTTTTTGCCCTGGTTCTCAAAGGAGCACCTGGAGATGTTGCTTGGTGCTCATCCTTAAAATGAAATAAACCGTAACTTTTGAGGGGGTCTTGACTTTATTTGCCAGACACACGGCACTGAACACACGTGCAGAGGTGAACACAGAACACACATGCAGAGGTGAACACAAGACAACATTAGCACGACCAGTAATCCTATAAGCTGTCATCACTACCCTCCTGACTGTTCTCCTCACTGTCTTCCTCTCTGTCAGACATGGTAGCTGATGATGTAGGCCTACTACTTTCTCTCTGGTTGAGTCTGCGATTAGCTGCTGGTTTTGGGTCGAAAGTCTCTGTTGTCATCTTAGACAAGTGGATGTAATCAAATAAGTATGTGAACATAACCAATAACCTACCATAGCAAATAACAAATTAATGTAACTTATTTTATTTATGTTGTTCATTCATATCTTATTTTACCTTAACATTTATTTATGTATGCATTTTTTTTTATCTCTCCAGTTTTAAAGGATATTTTTGGTTACTGTCCTATAGTATACATTGGAATGATTTCAAACCTGTTTATCCCAATAATTATAAAGGAGTGCCTTGGAAATATGTGTTTACATAAATTGTGACCAAACCGTTTGAACTTAGACTAAAGTGAACTATCTAAACGCTCAGAGTCCTTTACCTCACTGAGCTGTAATATCAGCCTCTCAGTCTGACTGGAGAGGACTCTCCCTCCACATCATTGTAGAAACATCTTCTTCTTCCGTTAGAGCAGCTAGCACCAGATGCTAATAACAACAGCGCCGGAACCGGTGTACCCTCCCTCTCTCCCACGCTCACTCGCACTTTGGCTGTGAGCTGCGGGCGCCAGATAAGCCAATATCCCCCATTCTCGTGGTTTCCTTGCGTCCCTCCATGCTTCCCTGGAGGGAGGGACTAAACACAGGGAAACGACGCAAGTGAGGGAAGCAAGGATTTAATTTAACCGACCTGAGACGGGGCCCAGTTTGGCTCATTTGACCAAGCAAATGCGAGAGACGGCTGAGTTGACCGCAGTCAAACATGGTGGGAAAAATAACACTGAGGCGAAGTTGCAGAACACTGAAAAATAAGTATTGGAGCTGCGTAGCCTGTCTGGAGGTAAAAGAAAATAAATGATGTTAAAGGATAAAATCATGTATTTGTTTTCACTTTTAAATGTAATGTGTTAATTTCATGGTCTCAGGCAAATCTCAGGTCGGTGGCCTTTTCTACAGCTCTCGTGGAATCTGGCTCGGAAACCATTGGGTTCTAATAGGCTACACCACTTAAGTATAAGAGGGTCATCTCCATAAGAGGGTCATCTCCATAAGAGGGTCATCTCCAACACTGGAAATAACTACAATCCTACAACAGGTATGTTAACAGTTAGAGCGAAAAAGAAAAAAACACAAACAATGGCTCATAACATTCAATCATTCTCCTTATTCTTGCAGGCATATTTTCAGCAACCGTCAAAGGAACCTACTTCTTTCGTTTCACGATGTACAACAATGTTTCTCCTACTCCAAACTCTGTTAGCCTAATGAAGAATGATGTGCGGCTTACGTCAGTATGGCACACCTCAGGGTCTGATGCGAATGACTGGTAGCAACGCTGTGGTTATCCCCCTCGAGGTGGGAGATCATGTGTATGTGGATCTCCAGGCAAACAGGATGGTCTATGTCTGATGATGCCATGGGCTACAACACCTTCTCTGGTTTTTCTGCTCTTCACTGAATAATCTGCATTGTGTGTTTTATACTTTTAAAAGGAATATAATCTCACTTTATTAATGCTGGTAGCTGGTAGCAAAAGCCTAACTACTGATTGCTGTGCTGAGAAAATCAATAAACATAGTTGTAATAATGATAAATATCTGGCTTTATCTGCGCCATCTTTATTTTCATTTGTGTGTTTAGACTTTTTCATGTGTACAGCTCCAGCACATGTGAAATTCAATTGTGAAGTTTTGTATTGAATGTATAACTGCAGTAGAACAATTAAATTAAAAAAGATGCTAATGAGATTCATAGGAGTTTATTGTTTTGAATAGATAACATGACTTAGGTTTTGTATATCACCTGGTATAATTCAAGTGTGTTCAAATGAGCTCTAGAAATAAAATGTACTTTCTTATTTTCTTACCACACTTGCTTATTGACTTACTTTACTCACCATTTATTTTTCTCCATACTTCAACTTGAATATTGTCAATAGCATCTTCACGGACAAGAGAACAGGTGACTTTCTGGTTATTGAAATGCTTATTCTTGGATGATTGATATACTCAAACCTGGGGTATTTAGTAATCAGTTGATCTTTTATATGAAAAACCTTAATGTAACTTAAAAGAAAAAAATACATTACAACTTTGTAGCATAGTAGAAGTATATGATTTACTGTAAAAGTATATATTTGTATATCCCTTGCACTTGATTCCATTGGTCTGATGCATTGATCTTTAGTCCATGTTTGTAGGTTAAATAAAACATTTGTTTAAAAAGCTAAACTAAACCAGCACCAACTTCGGTCTTGGCTCATTTTGCATTGTAAGTATTCAAATTGTGGAAATATAGACTTTTGTATGATATGATTTGCATGACAGGCACATTTCATACAAGCTGCCCAGTGGAAAAACTGACCAAAGTCAAGTGCTTTGCTTGTAATGACTTTTAAATGTAGTTTTTAATATAAGTTGGACTGACCTAAACACTCCAAACATTCTGATCAAAATAAGTAAACTGAACAAGTGTCTCCTTTTTAGCTGTTAGCTGGCACAAAGGTCGTCTGATCCTTAATCGACACTGTTCTGCCAAGTTTAACAAAAATGATCTTCCGTTTTTTAATTTTGATATTCCACTAAAAGTTTTTCTAAAACGGTGTTTATGTTTGTGTTAGTGCTCTGGAAAAAAGTATAACAAAAGCATTTATAAAGTACAATTGCTCAAGTGCTTATTTTCATAGCATGTAGCACATGCTAACAGTTAGCCCCTACAGTGTCTATTGTGGTCAACATTTTACCTTAAAGTATATCAAAAGTCAGATTTTACTGCGATTTCAGGCCCGTTTGCTTTTGACAAAGGATATTTATTTGTATTCATACCACCAGTTCAAAGGTTTGAAATACAATCTTACAAATATTTACCCATGAGGCAAAGTAAGAGATTGTTTTAGCTGATATAAGAGTCCTCATACTCAAGTCCAATGAAGAATATGCCTGTAGCTCTGTAACAATATTCATACATTTTGTACAATAATACAAACATCATATTTCCAGCCATAGTACAGGATGTACAGTTTGGTCCTGACTTTTAATACAATATTCTACAACAAAAACAGTTGAAGGCACTCTTGAACATGTTGTTGTTTATACATTTTGTCTCTCCTTTATCTACTTTTTTACAATAAGTTTGGCTGAGCAGAACGCCTCCCCTTGGTCATTGGTGGCTCTGCAGGTGTACACGCCGCTCTCCTCTGGGCCCACTTTGTCTAAGACCAGTGTGCAGCGGCCATCTTCATCATACTCTATCTGCTTTGAGGGTGACTCCTCCACATGTTCTTCACCACACAGCCACACCACCTCTGGGTCTGGGTACCCTGTCAAGATAGATGGGGTGAGGACAGGATTAAAGAGCAGAAAAAGTACTTCTGTTTTCTTTTAGGGGAAGTTTCAGTTGCGAGTTGATAGCAAGTCTTTCAGGCCTGAAAACTAACCATTAAAGGTGGGCTAGGTAATTAGCTCCAGGAACACTTTTTGGACATAATGTTGTGTATAGCAGTGGGTCTAATATGGGTTATGCAAGGCCAATTTATTAGATATTGTCCAAAATTTGTGATACATTTTTTTGCTTTTGCTCTTTTTAGTAACGGCTCAATACATGTGCAATAATAAGTCAAAGATGAAAACATTGCTTAAAGGTCACCTATTATACAAAATGCACTTTTGTACATACATATGTGTCCCCAGTGTCTAAGGAGACTCACGAAGCAATATTGCAATATTGCCACACTGGAGATGTATATTAGTTATTTAGAGTTTAGTGTTCAATGTATTCAATGTGTTAAATGTATTCAATGTGTTAAATGTATTCAATGTAGAACTATTCAAAGTATTCAATGTAAGGGATAGTGGTGGTCTAATGGTTAGGGAGGTGGGCTGAAGATCGGAAGGTTGTGGGTTCAAATCCCGCCAGGAACACCACCATTAGTGTGCCCTTGAGTAAGGCACTTAGTCCTTAGTTACTCCAGGGAGAATGTCCCTGTAATCGGTAATTGTAAGTCGCTTTGGATAAAAGCGTCAGCTAAATGAAATGTATATGTATATATGTATGTATTCAATGTGTTAAAATGTATTCAATGTGTTAAATGTATTCATTGTATTGTATTAAATAACTATCCCAAACATTTTATATGTAAGTTATTTATATGTATGTAAGTGTTGTCTCGTGTGTATGTACTGTTTGTGATCGTTGTTGTGTCCTCACTCGTGGCCTGCACCATGGGCTTTAAACTTAGACAGGCCATTTTTGTTGAAATATCATGCTAACAAACCTGCAATTACAGAATTGAATGATAGTGGTTATATATGTTCATGTCTTGCTGACATTATTACAATTTTAAAATGGTTCTCCTCTCTCCTGCAGTCAGCTGTGATTCCAGGTGTCCATGCTGCCCGCCCGCCTCCCCCCCCCCCATCCACCTCCTTTCATCATATCCAGTACCAGGAGAGCTAATCCAAAAACCTCATCACACCTCCTCTTCATCCCATCTCCTCATCAAATCCAGATTCTTCAGCATTATCACCAGTGTCTAACATGTATCATATGACATGTGTCAATAAATGTTCTTTAAACAAAATGAGTCTCTCCTGATTGAACTGCTCTGGACCCCATCCTCAACATTTTTTCAAACCATAAATGCCTTCAGAGGGGCTTTCCTGTGATAATGTTGGTGGATTTTTTAATTAGAATAATTGTAATCAATATTATATTACTTTTAATCATATATAACTTGTATATTAAACATTGTTGTCCACTATTTTTGTTCACCTTGTTCTACTATGCCAGCCATCAGAGGTATACATTTGTTAACATCTCTTTTAGGTTTCATTGCTTATATTTGTGAATTTCTTATATAAAATGCTATATTTCTACCTGAAATGCTTATGTATTTTTAATTACAATTTTCGTAAAGCTTTCACTTTTTCAGCGGAATAAATATTATAACTGGTTTTGTTCAGCATTGCCAGCTTCACTGTTGAGCGTGATGTTGTGCCCAGCATTCCCTGTCCTGTGCTCTGAAATCAAAATGTGGATAAGAATAAAACAACACTAAAATAAACACTACAACTAACTTCGTAAAACTTTTGAAAAAAACACAAGGTTGTTCATTTGTGTGTATACATAACAACACAGGCAATATACATATATATATATACAATTATAATTAATACAATTGTTAATTTGATTAGAGCTTTGACACATATCTTTATTGGTATAAATATGACGACTTAATATATAGTCGGCCTAATAGCAAACAGCTACGTTCAACTCTTTTAATGGTATATTGCAAGTGTAATAAGAAGCTACAGGAACGTTAATCTACGTCGGTAATATTATTAACTTTATTTAATACAAACATTTACGGTACAAGATTTACATCATAAGCCTACAGCCATGTAGTATATTATTTTACAAATGATGAATTACAGCAAACATGTTGCAATATATCCATTATTACAGCTCCGTGGGCTGGCAGTAAGGCGATATGGTCCGTTGTTATTGTGCATCCATGGGTAAAGATAAACGCATGTAGTGCTGAACACGTCACATCACATGAACGTGCGGGCAGCGCGGTCCCGTGGTTAGATGCGCGTTCATAATGCCGAGGGAAATAACTCTCAGAATAACGTTATTAGCACATGTCTACAACTTGAGGAACGAATGTTTTTAATAAGGGCTATACAAGTGTTTCATACTGATTGTTTATTTAGTTTAAAAAAAAAATTATCCAACGAGTTACAGACCACTCTTTCCCCATGTAAGTCAATGGGAAAAAGTGTTTCCGGGCCCAGCAACCAAACGGAAGTGTAGTACCAGCCGTTTGGCCACTACGAATATTCTCATCAGACTCCGGCGCACTTCCTGGGGGGCTGCTCTGATCTCATGCTTCCTTGACCATATTCTTGACATGAGAGCAGTTTCCCAGCAGAGTGAAGAAAACACATGAAACTCATGGGACTCACTCCTCAGTTTATACCGTGTTTTGTTTCAATTAATGTTATCTAACTGGGTATTTCTATTGTGCACTCGAATCAATATTAATCAAACTATTGTTCGTTTATACATTTTAAGAATGTGCGTTTATCTTTTTTGAGAATGACTTCTTATTTATTTAATGTATTTGGATCTACAACAGATGATACAAATGTTTGTCAGTAAATGTGTATAACAGAGGCGGGGGGTGTTTGTGAAAAACAACGGGGACAGAGCTGCTGTCAGACGAACAGCTGTGCGGCGTCATCACTATGGGCATAGATATGTCTCATGATTATTTGTGTGAACATACAAATAATTTGTGTGTAAATATGTGATTTGTAAATGTAAAACAAATCCACAAATGCATTTAAAAGATTAGCAAACTCACAAATACATTTGCAAGTGTAAAACGGATCTGCAAATACGTTAAATATG